TACCTGCATGTAGTCCGTCTGCTTTGTATCCGATTCCATGCTTCTTTTTATAAAAGATTAAACAAAAATTAAAACTGCATTTTTTGACGGATGATCAACTCAAGCATAGAATAACCACAAATTTAGTTGCAGAACTGTAGCTCTCCGAAAAAAATATATATTGACAGACCGGAGAGCTACAGTGCCATCCATTGACAAAACTGTATATATATTGCGCATAAAAAAGTGCGCTGTTTGATTTATTTCTACATGTTTTTAAAATTATCATCTCAAAATATTACAAACCGTGTTTTTCTTACATCTTCTTTCACTATTTCCACAACAAAACATTCCTTATAATTGTTTTAATAGCCCTCCTAACCCTGAAATTGAGATTATCGAAAATTTATCCCATTTATACTGCCATTTTGGTTTGCAAGATAATTCGGTCCAACACGTTTCGTACAAGTATCAACCACGAGAGTACTTGACAGATGAGTAAGGACTTTTTAAGTTTTGTTTTTTTTTTTTTTGGAATTGAGGTAAGAATTTTTAAGCCCATTTGTCTTTTAATATATTTTTCAGTTACACCAGTCAACTTGCGATCTTTTAATAGGAAAGAAAAAATGTACAGTGTATTATTTTTTTAGACCCGGTTCTTTGCGGCTCAACCCTATTCCGAGTGTCCGAAAATCGAGCGTTAACAAAACTTTAATTAAATGTACCGATCGTATTATGATTTAAAATAAAAATCATCCTAGTGAAATTTAAAAGAGACTTCCCAAAATTCCACATGTTGTCGTATTTTGTAATTAAAAAGAATTGGTGGTTAACCCTCTCCAAAAAATATCAGATAAAAACAATCGGAGAGGGTTACGTAATTGCAGCTAAAAAAACATGAACAGTTATTCAATAAATTGAGATTTAACATCCCCCCTGATTTATAATATCCCCCCTGAATTAAAGAAATTACCCCCCCCCCCCCCCCCCCCCCCCCCCCCCCCCCAATAAAAATTCTCAATCACTTTATGCTATACTAATTTAACTGAAAAAGGGCACTCAATAAGTTTAAAGCGTTATAATAATGTATTCAAAACCTTTCAAAATTAATCGGATGTTTTAGTAACTGTGTTTTTACTCTCTCTCTCTCTCTGAAATTGTATTTGTCTATAGATATAATGTTTTCAAAAGTACAACTACACACATGTACATATTCCATAAAGTAAATGGAATTCACACGAGTAAGTAAGGAAAAGGTCGATATTTTTAAAAATCGCATATTTTGTAGCACGTACGAACTCTAACGGGTTGGGGTTGGGGGTGGGGATGGATTGAGTTTTACCCATTTAAAAAAAATAGTAATTTGCTATAATATAAAACATTTATTTAGTTTAAACATGTATTTAGTTTAAATTTTTTAAAACTGAAAGACGGCTGTCCCCTTGCCGTTTTTACTTTCTTCTTGAAGCCGAAAAAAAATACTGAGGATTATCAAAAATAATCACCTTTGATATATTGTTTTTACTTCTCTCTCTCTCCCCACCCCATTTTGCGTTTTAGGCAAGTTTCTACTGCAGTTTTAGATATATAGATATAGATTTCAATAATTGTTTTATATTTACATAGTCCCGAAGATATTATTTACCTGATGCATGATTAGCATTAATTCAAAGGGACAAATCAGAAAAAAAACTAGTGCTAATTGTAACGGGGACCGTTACAGATGTTCCCCAAACCCTCCCCATCTCCCTTTTGGTGCCATATTCCCTATAAGCTTCATTAAATAAGACAATCTTTATGCATTTGAGACTTTAAGAACGTTTACCCAGATGGGTACCAAGTTCATTCAAATTTTAGCATTGCACGCGTGCGCATGTTAATGCATGTGCGTAATGACCATATCATCTTGTTTACACAATCTATATAATTAAATTTACTAAATATTAAAGTATTTAATCCAAAAGTATTAAAAAATACGCTCATTCAAGTGTTTTTTTTTATTTTACTAATTTCACGTGCACGCCCGTGCATACATGAGCATGGTGACATACCTTCTTGTAGAAGTCCATTACATCTATCTATGTTCTAAATCCCACTCCGTTTGGTTGAAAACCAAGGGAGTTATAGCTGATTAAAGTTTCAGCCAATCAGATTGCAGCGTACGTACACGCACGTGTATTGATGTGCTTGGTGATCATACCTTCTTGTAGAAGTCCATAATATCTATCTATGTTCCAAATCCCATCTTGTTTGGTTGAAAACTAAGGGAGTTATAGCTATTTAAAGTTTCAGCCAATCAGATTGCAGCGCACGTACACGCACGTGCATGGATGTGCATGGTCACCATACCTTCTTGTAAAAGTCTATTATATCTATCAATGTTCCAAATCCCATCCTGTTTGGTTGAAAACCAAGGGAGTTGTGGCTATTTAAAGTTTCAGCCAATCAGGTTGCAGCGCACGTGCATGCACGTGTTTTCATGAAAATTGTTATATTTCATATTGTAGGATATCCTAATGCATGGCTATGTTCAAAATTTCAAATGATTTCATCAAAAAACAAGAAAGATTTTGAGACTTTAGTTTCAGCCAATCAGAGCGAAGCACACGTGCATGCGCGTGAGATCTTGCTATTTTGACCATGTCATATTGTCTATGCTACTACTATATCCTTATATTATGAGTTTCAAAGCATTTCATCAAAAAGGTAAAAATATACGCCTATATCAATTAAATCGGTCATTTCACGTGTTGCTCGTGCGCGCTCTTGCAAGCACGTGCACACAAAATGGCATGTTGACAATGTCATCTTACCTACATTTATAATATGTCTATATATGATAAAAATCAAAGCATTACATCGAAAAATGTAAAAGTTACGGCAATTTCAAGTATATTGGTCATTTCACGTGTTGCACGTGCGCGCTCTTGCAAGCACGTGCGCGCAAAATGACCTTCGTTCCGCAAATCTACATAACATGCCTACTTACCCTAAAAAGGTTTCCCCTTAATCGGATGTGTACTTTACAAGATCATTCGCGGACAAAATTTTCCCGAGAAGAAAAATAATAATAATAAGAAACAGAGTAAAAACAATATGGTCCCCAACTTCGTTTGGGGAACATAAATATGACAACATTTTGTATTTTTTGTTCACGTAAACTTGATTTTGTATAGTCATCATCAGAGGGAGACGCAATTTTTACTGCCCTAGCAAAAATCTATATAATCTGTACTCCTGTTCAAATCAACACACTAGTGTAAGGAATATAATTAGTATATATATTACACGACGGAAATAGGAAGATCAATAGCATTTTAACAAAATAAATTGAAAAAAAAAACATTTTTTTTTCAAAAATCGATTATCACATTCATTTGCCATACATTTGTTTTTTCTCATTAGAAATTTCAATAAAATTGCGTCATTTTTTTCCATTAAAATTCTGGAAGAAAAATGGTCATATCAAACTGATCATGATTACCCCTTTCATTGTAATACATTGAATTCATGCGTCCTGTTAAAAATAATCTATGAAATATTTGTTTAAAGTTATACCGGTATGTAATAAATAAACTCAATACAGAACAAATAAAAAAAAAAATATTGATTAAAATTAAAATTTCGGAATACAATTAAAGCAAAAACAAGCTAATTCAGAGAATTCGTGTCCCCCGCTTAGGGAAAAAGTCGGCTCCCCCTCACTGAATTTGTAGAATTATTAAATGTATACATGTATACTGAAGCAAATAAAATACATGTATGTCAATATGCATATAAAGATTTGATTGCTTATTCTTTATTAGTGTATAGAAGATTTTTTTTATATATAATGTTTATCACACTGTAATGATGATTTTATAACCTCATAAATTTTTCATTTCACATGCTGAATACCATCATTTAGTAAAAAAAAAAGTATTTTAAAAAAAAAAAAAAAAAAAAAAAGGACCGTCCGAGATTCGATCCCGGGACCTCTCACAATTGAAGCGAGAGACTTAACCACTAGACCACGGAATCGCTTTACGCGCTTGAAATATATGCAGAATTGAAGTCACATACATGTATATATTCATGTTTTCATGTTCGGTATTCTCAAAATTTTACACAATCCATGGTGTTTGATTTATTTAGCCTTTATTAAACAGTTCTAATAGATGTAATAAGAACATAATGTCCGCCGAGAACCTGTTTTATACGCAATAACTCTCCTCATGGCCCTGCACTAAAAATAGCGACATGTAATACTATAAATACTAATAAAACAAACGGGGCGGGGCACTTTGAGAGGGGCGAGAGACGTCCTAGGGAGTTTTGGTATAAAATTACATTCCATTAGCTCAAAATCTTCTTGAAATATCGCCCGGAAATGATAGTTTTACATACAGACAGAATGTATAAATTTACGACCTTGAACTTTGACCTTTTGACCTCAAAATCAATAGGGGTCTTCATTAGGCCACAGGGAGTTGTTATATAAAATTTCATTGCAATAGCTCAAATGGTTCTCGAGATATCGTGTGGAAACGAAAGTGTTTTAACAGACAGAATTTGCTTATTTATGACCTTGACCTTTGACCTTTTGACCTCAAAATCAATAGGGGTCTTCTTTAGTCCATAGGGAGTTGCTATGCTAAATTTCATTGCAAAAGCTCAAAGGGTTCTCGAGATATCGTGTGGAAACGAAAGCGTTACAGACAGACAGAAAGACGGACGGACGGACGGACAAACCCAAATTAATATCCCCCACTTTTCAAGCGGGGGACAACAAATATTTAAACTTATTAGCTTTGGTTATCTTTTCAATATCTATTCAATATGTTTAATTCTCAGGTGCTTTAAGTTAAGTCGCAGCATGTAAAATCTGCATTTAGAAATTTGCAAAAAAATACATCGAACACAGGAAACAAAACGAAACAGGAAATAAATTTTAATTTGTTCATACGCAACAAAATAAAATAAATAAACTTGACAATATAAACCTTTTCACGTTAACTGCGGTCCTGTTTTTGGCGCATGCGTATAAACGCTTCCGGACGGCAACAAAACATCCGCATTCCAAGGTTGTTTACAATAACAACGTAATGGTCTTTCACTGCGTTGTTTACCAGTGTTCTAATCGCCAAGGCGAGAAAGCAAAGGGCAAGGGCATAAGTTTTTTCAGATTTCCAAAAGGCAGTAAGAAGAGAAAGGCTTGGATTCGTGCGATTAACAGAGATGACTGGGCACCGAACGAATACAGTCGGATCTGCTCTGAACATTTTGTAGGGGGGTGGCACAGCGACGAGGTGGAGGATGAGAACTATAGACCTACAATTTTCACCTACAAAGAAAAACCGCAAACTAACTCTGACGTCGCTAGGGAAGAGAGAAAATGCAGAAGAAATTTGCAGCAGGTAGCTTATATACAAGCATATAAATAAACACACTATGTATAGTTATAGTCATCTTCATAAGAAAAATGCATTATTATAATCATGATTATATGCCTTCGTTTTTTAGCTAGGTCTCTTTACCTATTGCTATAAAATTTAATAGAAAAAATATTAACCTATTCACATGTTTAACCTGACCCATAAAATGAAGCCCTAGCTATATATAGATTAAGTAAAATTCAATATTAATACTCATAAATACAATTCCTCACATTTAAAACATATGACAATTAATTCTGGAGGTTTTTTTTGTATGACACTGTCAATGTTTGAATTTTAAAAAATGATTGACAGCATGTATTAAAGTTTGAAATAATTTGCACCATTTTATTACCTTGAAACTTCAAATTGTAGGAAATTAATGAAGCAGAAGCTAGGGACAGACGTTTAATGCAGCAGCACCATGAATTTAGCTTATACACCCACAGCTATTGCTGTTTGCAACCCCCAGAGTCAGACTCGCAGGATATGAACAACAACAGCACCTTCGTACCAGATGAGACATTAAAATTAGATGACATTGACATAAAAACCTTTAATGATAAAGGTATATATACATGTATAAGGCAAGGAATATCTGTAATGTGAAACATATATATATGCAATATTTACCTGTCTTCAGCAGGAAAAAAAGTAACACCACTCTCAATTTTTTTTTTTTTTTTTTTCAAAACAAAATTTATAGGTGTACAATGTGACCCTGACCCTCTACTGGAGGAGAACCTTGCCCTGAGGAAAGAGTTGGAGGATCTCAAGAGAGAACGTGACCGACACAAATGGAGTGCAGAGAAGATTGCCAATGATGATGGAAAGACCGAGTATTACACTGGGCTACCTTCCTTTGCAGTGTTCACCTGGCTTTTTAAGTATGTAGGATGGAATTTCAAAAGCATTTTGGGAAAAAAGAAAACAATACCGTAAATCTGGAAATTTTTGCTGTAGATAAATTTTTAGCAAATTTGTGCATTCATTGCATTCGCAAAAATATTTTTTTTATAAATAAATTACCAGTAAGAAAATGTAAACAAAGCAGTGGTAATTCGCAAAATTTTGAAACGTTAAAAATTAATAAATACCTTTGTGACCTAAATTCGCAAAATAAAATCGACGTAAAAATTTCCAGATTTACGGTATTTGTTTTCCTCTTCTCCAAATCTCACATCTGCATCACAATGAATTCTATTTTAATACTGTAACTCTGACGATAATAATTTTTTAATGATAGTTTCCTGAGACCTAAGGCAGAGAGAATGAGGTATTGGGTTGGTTCCAACACAGACCAGGATTCAGTCAGACAGAGAGTATCAATAGGCTCATTGGGATTGATCGACCAGTTATTTGCTGTTCTCATCAGATTAAGACTCGGCCTCTTCACATCAGACTTAGCTTACAGATTTTGTATTTCAGAGAGTACTTTTTCGAAATACTTTTCCACCTGGATTTCTTTACTCTCCTGTGAACTTAAGTCTCTCAATCCATTTCCTACTCGAGATATTATTGATAGAACTATGCCATTATCTTTCAAAGCTAAGTATTCTTCTGTTAGAGTTATACTTGACTGTACAGAGCTTTTTATACAGAGGTCTTCAAATCTTGAAAATCAGAGTTTAACATATTCTAACTATAAACACCATACAACTGTGATATGATAGTACTTGTGTGAAGGCTTAACTTCATTTCAATATTTTATCTAGAGCCTCTTTCAGAATTATTAAAAGGTATAGAGTTTTATTTATATTTTTGCTTTTCATTTATTATTTTTTTTGTTTTGATTTAGCGTAATGTTTTTTTTTGGGGGGGGGATAAAAATTTCCTCCTCTTTCATTGTCAAATAGGATTTGCCAAACTTAAACAAACTAAAAGTTGAAATTACGGAAAATTTAATTTTTCCCATTAAAGAGTATTTAAACCTGATTTTTGCATGGTTTGATTTCTAAAAACAAGTGGAATATCATTCTTTAAGCAAACTCTATAAGGAGGAATATTAAAAAGAAATATTTACTTGACAATTAAAGAATCTCTTTTCAAACACAATTTTAGCATTGAAAGACTACGTAAACTCTTAATCATTTCATACGACTTTTTGTATTTTTCTGGTTACAGAAAATGTAAAAATTAGTTTCGCTGTAAAAAAGATATCAAAGAGTGTATATTTTGTATCACTTTAAAGGGGGTCATTTTTCAATGGGGGTCATTATTTTATAGGACTAACATATAAAATAATGACCCCCTAGGACCCTTTTTCTACAAAAAATGAATTTTTTCTACGGGTGGGGGTCATTTTTTGTCGTTGAAAAATGACCCCCCGGTCATTATTCGATGGGGGTCATTATTCGTCTTTACACCGGCAGTAATTTACAACATGACAACTGTAAGTTGTGGTACAAAATGTCATTGCAAAAGCTCAAATGCTTCTTGAGATATTGCGCGGAAACGAAAGTGTTAAAACAGACCAAATTTTTAAATTTATGACCTTCGCCTTTGACCTTTTGACCTCAATTTCAATAGGATTCTTCTTCGGGCAATAGGGTGTTCTTACAGTTTTTTTTAAAAACACGGAATTCTAAATTGATGACCTTGGCCTTTGACCTCAATTTCAGTAGGGTTCTTCCTCTGGCAATAGGGACATGAGGGAGTTCTTGTGTAAAATTTCATTGCAGAAGCTCAAATGCTTAGGGACAAAATTGTTACAGAAAGATAGAACTACTGTAACAGCTAGACGGACGGACGGACGGACAGACCACAATTAACATCACCCACTTTCAGCGGGGGGAAATAATGGCAACACATTCACTAAGACATTGAAAGTAGGAGATCCCAATTCTTTGAATTTGCTTGTTATAATTTATTTTACACAATCCAGAGACAAGCCCCTGTAGTGTATGATAGGAGGATAAAAAGTTTTCATGCTATTGGTGAGCCATAGTAAAGGGAATTTAAACCGAAAGTTACACTGCCACTGGGACTTCAGGAATTCAGTGTGTTAAATGGCTGAGTCAAAAGACAAAACCCCTGTCAATAACCCTGAGAGTGATGAATGTCATTGTCCAGTATGTCTAGAGAAGGTGAGAAATCCGAGATATCTACCATGTTATCACACATTTTGTGAGGCGTGTATTCAGACATACATTTCAAGTACGGTGACACATAAGGATAATGAAACATTAAAATCGATCGAGTGTCCAGTGTGTCGTAGATGTATCGAGGCTCCGCGGATTGACATTTCAAGTGAAGATTGGGCATCAGAACTACCACAGAATAAACTTCTTTTATCTATATCTGTAGATCCCGAGCTAGATGAAAATAAAAACTGCATGTTTTGCAAACGACTGGAGAAAACTGTACTTGCAAACCACTGGTGCAAATCTTGTATGGAAGCCATTTGCGAAGATTGCAAATCATTGCACAGAGCTATACCAAGCCTGCAAAATCATAAAATTGTAAATCTTTCCAGCATCAAGGAGGTGAACAGTGAAATTGAGATAGAAGAGTCATGTCTGTTACATGTAGGGAAAATACTTGATGTGTTTTGCCACAACCATCAAAAGCTATGCTGTAGTGTTTGCCTTGTCAAACAGCATAAATTGTGCAAGAATGTAGGCACACTTGAAGATATAGCTCATGAGATTGACCGAGATAGCATTCAAAAGACTGCTTTAAGATATATCGGTTTGGAGAAAACCGTTAACGATATTCTATCAGAAAACCTGAATAAAGTATCTAAACTTCATACCAGGAAGCAAGAAATCTCTATGGTCACTGAAGAAAAAGTTCAAGAAATCAAATCATTATTGGACAATGCACATGCCATGTGGCTTAAACGCTTTGAACAGAATCATGCAGACTCCGTTGGAAATATCGAAACTGCTTCTGAGGAGTTGAGACGGTTTTCCACTACAGTACATGAAGCAAGAATCATGTTACAATCAGTGTTGAAGAGTGGGTCTTCTAAACAATTGTTTGTTACAAATTATAAATTACAAAACCAGATAACTGACCACATCACTCGTTTAAAGTCCTTAGATATCTGGACTTTCTCTGAAGATTACAAGCAAAACAACTCGGACTTTTTCAGCCAAATGTCCAATGCAAAAGAGTTTGAAGACGTAGTATTGTCTAGACTACAATCTACAGCATTGGAGAGAATTTTAGTAGATGCTCCTGACAAAGATGATATTTTGAAAAGAAGACTAACCATGTCTCAAAAGGACTGGATGAATGTCATCTTTAAGAAAATATCACAGATTACCGGTTTCTCAGAAAGAGTTTATTATGGTTTGTTTATACACGATACAAAGATCATATTATCTCTGACCAACCCACCTTCATTGAAGATCTATGACATCAGTAAGGCCACAGGAGAATGTATTCACACTGACAGGTGTCAAGATAGACCGCATGATCTCTGCCACTCCGGTTTAAGCTTGAATGAAATTTATGTTTCGTTCGAAAACTTTATCAATCATTATCGAATTGATGTTGCAGAAACTATAACATTCACAAAGCTGAGAACCATTCAACTGAAAGAACCCATGCTGGCAATTTCTCGAGGGCCAAGAACAGCGTTTGCTGCCAATAGTTCCAAAAGAATGATATGTTCTTTGGACTTTTGTGTCATCCATAGTTCATCATATGAACCTAGTGGAGATGTACCCTTTGTGTCTTCGTCATTGATTTCAGATTCACATTGTTTTATAAAAGATTATACAGTAGTGGCTGTGGAACAGAATAACAAAGAAATTTTTAAAAGTACTAAGAATACAGATTTTCGAGGAGTTTCCTTTGACTTGCAAGATAATATTTTGGTGTGTAATTGGTCAACCAAACTTAAACAGTTTAAACACGATAAAAGTGAGAGCAGAAACATTGATGCGGCAGACATGACTAAACCTTATAACGTTGTACTTCATCCAGCAGGAGAGAAGCTTTTGGTTTTAAGCTATGATATGAAATGCTGTGTATACTCAGTATCATAGAAATGGTAGGTACATGTAGATCACAGCTCAAAATCCATTTGGTAATGAGTACGAAGACTTAAACACATCTACAAATTAGTTTTCCAAACCCTTCTAGGGAAAAGATAAAGGAAATTGAAACATTTTCTATGATTTTGTATGGAACTTAGAAACTCCAAGGGTAGTAAAAAGGATATTATTCTGAGTTACTAGTAAGAAAAGAGAGGCTTAAGAATAAATTATTGTATATCTTTATTAATTTTGTAAAAGTCTAAAAAATTCCTGAATTCTTGTATGTTTTACTGATACTTGTCTGTAAAGTTGGAAAGCTTTGCTAATAAGTACTCTTCGCAATGTAGCAAATATTGTGATTTTTAGAAGACATTTAACTAAACCATTTGTGAAATATTTGTAAAAATCTATTTTCATGATGATATCCATTTCAATAAGACCATTAAACTTCACAAAGAGATTAAGCTTCATATTATATTTTCATTATATGGATTGTAAAATTATGTCACATTTTCATAATTTTAAGCAATAACATTGATTTGTGATTGCCATAGAAATCTTTCATCATTCAATAACTTGTATAATTCATGTATATCAGAACGATAATGATTTTCTAATATACTCTTTCTGATATCATAATACTCATTTTTCTAATTCATCTTCTGTCAAATCGCCTTAAAAAACAAATAAAAAAACTTGATATAAAAAACTTGTAAATTACTTTTAAGAATTGTGAAAATATTGTTATTCACAATAAAGGGTTTATTCCAAAATATGTAGGCCACAGATAGAAAGATGATGACAAAGTTACTGATAAAAATGTTCCTGATGTTGAAATTTGAGTTTAACAAACTTTTTGAATACTTACGTAATTCCAGAAATTTGAATACTTTTCTGACAACAGAGGACGCGTTAGATGAGTAGTCTTCTGTACGTAGAATTAACATCTGATCACGTGGAAATACTGACAACCATTCTCCTAGATAAACTGCGTAAAATCCTAAATGTATACTCGTCTGAAAATAGAAAAAAAATATCTATTGAAAATTAATTCTATCAAATTAATATTTTTTTTCAATTTACTGTACGAACCTTAGCCTACAATGGCGCATCGCAGGTAAAAAATTACAATACTAAATTGGATGTAGATATAATTATATGAGTTCAAAATAAAATTTTAGATTTTAAACTTGAATAATTCTATGATAATAACCTCACGTTTCAGTAGTTATTATAATTTTTTACTTTTGTCCTTTTTTTTTTTTTTTTTTTTTTTTTTTTGGAGTCCGTAAATTAATCGGTTATTGTTTTATTTTTGTGTTAAATATTGTGTTAATTGTTGATAAGGTTTGAAACACGATTGTTTAAATTGTGAAATCTACAGAAAAGTCCTATAAAGTAATTAAAAAATAGGAATATATTTTTAATTCTGGTTTACTGAAATTTTCAAAAATATGCCATATACATGTATTGCTTTAAATGTTTTGCACTGTATCAAAGTAAGATCAAAACGTTAACACGTGAGGCATTGGATTCAGATAAAACTTGTTACTTACAAAGTTCTTTGGAAGTCGTATTGAAGCTTTAGTTTGAGAACTATTTTGAAAGGTTTTCTTGCTATTGCAATACTTCTTATCATTGCTATTTTAAAGTATTTTCCTAAAATATGAATAAAACATGCACCAATACTTAAATTTTTCTTTACATATTAAATTTTATAAGAAATCAAATTTTATAACATATTAAATTTTATAGCATATCAAATGTTATAAAATTTTCTAAGGAGAAAAGATCAGATTTTTGTAAAGCCATATTGATGGATCTGGCCATGTGTTTCCTTTTTTAGAAAGGATTTTTATTTTTTTATGAACTTTGGAAATACAATTTGGATAGGGTATATCGGAATTAACTAAGTTTACTTGGATGTTAAAAGTACATGTATTAAACATCTACTAAAAAGTGATTTTTGAAAAATTTAATCCTTAGAAAGAGAAGTGTGAGTTTACAAATTTGATTTAGTCAACCAAAACAAGTTCTATCCTACACAAAGGTTTCTCCTAAGTTGGCTGGCCAATAGGGTTGTAAAGTGAGCAACATAATATAGAAGTGTTATCGCAAATCTCACTTGAACGTATACACTTTGGCCGATATTGTGATGCGTTGAGTTACGACACTGATGAATCTGACTGAAATACAATTGATTATAGTTTGCAGTTAAGTGTGAAGTTTTACCTTACGTCACGATCTATTTGACAGCTGCGCTCAAGGTAAATTGTACATGCCTCCTAACCGCAAGTTTTACGACTGGAACTTTCTTCTTATCCCTGATTGGTTGCTCGTGCAACAGACTATTTCCGTGTCAATGTTGATAATTTAAGTTGACTAATCACATGAATTGTTTATGCTGGATGCATCTGACGAAAAAGATCGTGACGTAATGCAAAACTTTCACACATAATGAAATTAATATGAATCTTACTGACGTTCAATTGCGAAATCCAACAAAGAATCTGATTGGTGTTTTTTTTTATAGGCCCGCCCACCTTCTCAAATGTAAAGCCAAAAATATGGAATGTTTCCAAGAAAGATAGAAAAGCTGTAGAAAACAGGTAAAAACTTATTGGTACTTATTGAACTAATTAAGGATGTAGTAGACCTATGCAATATCTTATTAAATTATTCATTGTGAGTGTGCGTAATCTGTTTAATGATCTTCATATAAGATATGTTCCAAAACTGGCAGCATTACATGTCATGTTCGTATCAGGTGGATATAATATTCGTCGTTACAGTAAAAAGTGCACTGCATGAAAAAAAAACTCAAGGATTTAGATTTTTCTGGTCGCATGTTTATTGCCATGACGACTGTTGAAATAGGTATGCAGTAGTACATATACATTTGAAACATATGGTATTTTGACAGTGTCAATAAAACAGTAAACTTTTGAATAAATCCAATGTTTTACGCGTTTTACCACCTATGATTTTTTTTTCACTGAATAACAAGTGTTCCGCTTTCAGCTGGGTAATCACATGATTTCCAGTAATATCCGCGGTTTCAATTTGCCTGTGTTTGCCAACTCAATGAAATCGTAGCTCACGTGTGAATAAATAAAACATGGAGAGAAAAAAAGATTTTTAATGCACTGAAAAGTTGCACAAAACACCGAAAATGGAAAATGTCGTAAATAGGAAATCGGCAGCCATGTAGGATAAAAATAGTGTGCACCATCGAACGATATTCATGTACCGTCTGCGTAAGGAATACATGTATATTACATGCTAAAAATGATTATATATTTTCTTTCTTTGTTTTTTTTTCTCTTTTGGTTCAAAAAGTCAAAAACGCATTTCGACAATCAAACATGGCTATTCCCTAGGTCGTTGGACGCTTTCCAACTTATCATACTTATACAGCAAAGAATACCGCACGAGAGTGGGCGGGTCTAAAACAACCAATTAAACGCTTATTTTATAAAATGAAACTCGTGATTCAAATTGTTCAACTGTCAAATCCAACAGTGTCATCACTCAAGGCAATGGTATTTCGGTCGAAGTTTATACTTTCAAGCGAGATTTGCGATAAAGACATGAATAGTTTTCTTTTTTCTGATTTAATTTCTAAATCAATTTAAATTTTTGTAAAGCAATTCTGGAAGAAAAGTAAAACTTAGAGTTAGTTTAAGTTTGATTTGTTAATAAAGTAAATTAACAATCTTGAGCAAGTTTACTTTTTGATTAACTAACGATGAATGCACGAAAAATATTGAGCAGAAAGTAATTAATTAAAGTAGCAATAGTAGATACGTACTTTTTGCTTAACCAAAGCTGCATTAACATTAAAATCATACAGACTATTCCTCAATTTTCCGCTTACAGATTTCCAGCATGGGTTTTTATGCGAGGTCAAAAATCAATTTGTGAAAATCAAAAATAGACCCGTGTTTAGAAGAATATGGCTCAAACAACAAAACATTAATCAGTACTTGTAATCTCAGATCCATGTTACCCCGTGGGGATCCGGGTTAGAATAGGTCCTCAGTACCCCTTGCTTGTCGTACAAGGCGACTAAATGGGGCGGTCCTTCGGATGAGACCGTATAAACCGAGGCCCCGTGTCACAGCAGGTGTGGCACGATAAAGATCCCTCCCTGCTCAAAGGCCGTAAGTGCCGAGCATAGGCCTAAATTTGCAGCCCTCACCGGCAATGGTGACGTCTCCATATCAGTGAAATATTCTGGAGAGGGACGTTAAACAGTATATAATCAATCAATCAATCAGATCCATGTTTTACACGTTGAAGATAAAAAAGACATCTCAGAAAGGTTGAGTTTCTAATATAAGTAAAACTTTTTTAAAGACAAACTTTAAATTTTAAAAATCGATAATTCCCCCACAAGTTTCTGGACGGATTGTAATATAATTTTTGAATTGAAAGTGTTTCCTTGGCGGTAATATTTAATGCCCTGTTCACACGGAGAGTTTAATTCGAATTAAACGTAAAGTTACTGCGAATTAGCTTCGCGTAGCGTTCACACGGAGAATTTAATGCGAATTAGTTTAATTCGAATTAATTTACTGCGCATTAAATTACTTCGCATTAGCTCCGTGTGAACGCTAAGCGAAGCTAATTCGAATGAAATTTTGATGCATGAGTAAGGTCAGAATTAAGTCACAGGACACGTGTTGGTTGTTATATATAGGTATTTGTGCTATATTTGGTTCAAAAATTGAGGAAAAGTATGTTAATCACTAAAATCAATGAATACCTGTAGCCACTACATGATGTATCAAAGGATGGCTCTGCATACATGACGTGATTTACAAATGACCATTGAATCGTAAACACGTAGCAGAGTGTCATGCTTTGGGACTCATTCACTTGATTGGAGAACGGGTGTGACGAAGACATCGTCACGTGTTGAAAATTGCCTTCCATATAAGGTAGTGATCTCGACCTGTTACAACATGACAACTATAAGTTATGTCATAAAATGTCATTGCAAAAGCTCAATGGCTTCTTGAGATATTGCCACGGGAACGAAAGTGTTAAAACAGAACAAATTTTTAAATATATGGCCTTGGTCCTTGACATTTTTAACTCAATTTATATGAGACTTTTCCTTGGACTATTAAGGGAGTTCATGTGTAAAATTTCATTGGAAAAGCTCACAGGCTTCTTGAGATATTGCGCGTCAACGAAAGTGTTAAAACACAGAATTTTTAAATTTATGACTTTGACCTTTGACCTCCATTTCAATAGGGTTTTTTCTCAGGCCATAGGGACATGGGGGTTCTTGTGTAAAGTTTAACTGGAGTCGAAGCTCAAAGGCTTAGGGACGAACCTGTTACGAAAAGACAAAGACAGATCTACAGCTAGACAGACGGACGGAGAGACCGAAAGAGGGTACGCCGATGACCGTTATAGGTTCTAAATTTTACTTCGTTATAGGGCATCGTGAAACGTACCTGACTCCGTCTTCCTATAATCTGATTCTCTAAAGTTAAAGTGGCAGTCACATCTTCCTTTCCTGGACACCACCCATTCTTAGTTCTAGAATCGACACGACGGACGGCTATTCTTCATTTCATCAGAATATCTTTTTTTTTAATCTATGCCCATTAAACCTGAGGCAGCCTGGATTAGAGCAGTATCGAACCATTTCCGATTTTCTTTCCTCAGTGTTTTTCTTAAAGCGTCTTCGCGATAGTAGTAAAGCGTCTCGGACATACCCTATAGAAAACTCCATACAGTGTCAATTTCCCGGTACTACTTTCGTGCCCTACGAATAATGGAGTTGTCGCGTAACGTAATACTGAGCACTCTCTACCATTGGCTCATACATTCACCTCTGCCGCTGGCTCGCTTATATCACAGTGTTAAACACAAGAAATAGTGCGTTTGCTTTAATTCATTATAATTCAATTACTATGCTTATGTCTGAGTTTTAAGATAGATATTTACTAAATCTATACAGAACTATTAATTTAATTTGAAATAATCCTGCAAATATCCCGTTTTCTATGTTATGTCAAAAACCCATTGTAGGTTACAGACTACTAATTTTACCCCTATTTCATTGACCACTCAAGTAGTTCCAGTTTAAAAATAGAGGTTTTTTTCTTAAAAATTCTTTGGGGTGTTTATGGAGTAGAATTGGGTTATTTTTGGGCATAAATGAAAAGGAGAGGGTCTGAAAAAATTATAAAAATGATAATAATGGGAAATTTTGCTTTTAAGTGCGTAGTAGGAAGGGTGTAAAGAGGCCCATATTTACCCTTTCCTCGAAGAGAAAGTGAAAAAAGCAGGGTAGGGGTTATTTGCGATGCCATAAAAGGACTTGCAGACTATGAATGTTCCTGAGAACTTGGTAGATTTTTGGACTTGAAATGGTCTTACTCTGTGCCAAGTTTCAGGTAAGTTGAGCCGGTGTAATTTTTAAAAATATTTTTTATGTTATAAAGGAATGTATAGCAAAATAATTGGTAGTCTGTGTCCTGTATAGGTGTCTGAGAGAGAAACGAAAGACAACTCTGCAAGGGAGATTGAATACTGAGCTGTCTGGAGCTTGTACCCTATAGCTTTATAATAAAATTCAGAACCAAAGACGGTCGTCGGCGAACCCTAAAAAGCGGGGGAAATTAATGGCAACCCATTCAATAAGACACCGAAAGTTGTGGACCTAAAGTTTTTCATGCTATAGGTGTGCCATATTAAAGGGAATTTAAACCGAAAGTTACACTGCCACTGGGACTTTAGGAATCAAAGTTAAATGGCTGAGTCAAAAAACGAAACTCCTGCCAGTAACACTGAGAGTGATCAGTGTCATTGTCCGATATGTCTAGAAAAGGTAAAAAATCCGAAATATCTACCGTGTAACGTTATCACACTTTTTGTGAGTCGTGTATTCAGACTTACATTTCAAGTACGGCGACCCATAAGGATAATGAAACAATAAAATCGATCGAGTGTCCAGTGTGCCGTAGATGTATGGAGGCTCCGCGGAATGACATTTCAGGTGAAGACTGGGCATCAGAATTGCCACAAAATAAACTTATATTAACTATGTCTGTAGATCCTGAGGTAGATAATAATAAATTCTGTATGTTTTGCAAACGATCAGAGAAAGTGGTACCTGCGAGGCACTGGTGCAAAGCATGTATGGAAGCTATTTGCGAAGATTGCAAATCATTACACAGAAATGTGCCAAGTCTGCAGAATCATAAAATTTTAAATCTTTCAAACATCAAGGAGACGAATAGTGAAGTTGAGGTAGAAGAATCGTGTCTTTTGCACAAAGGGAAAGTACTTGATGTGTTTTGCCACGATCATCAAAAGCTATGCTGTAGTGTTTGCCTTGTCAAGCAGCATAGATTGTGTAAAAATGTGGACACAGTTGAAGATCTAGCTCTGAAGATTAATCCTGACGAAATTCAAAGCCTTGCCTTAAAATATTTTGGCTTGCAAAAAGTGTTGAAAAAATGCTGTTGGAAAATAACAATAGATTAGGCAAACTCAATACCAGGAAGCAAGACATTTGTTTGACAACGGAAGAGAAAGTTCAAGAAATCAAAATATTACTGGACACTGAACATGCCAAGTGGCTAAAACAATTTGAGCAAAATCATACAGATTCTATTGGAAACATTGAATTAGCTTCTGATGAGTTGAAAAGGTTTTTAACTACCATACATGAAGCAAGAGCTATGCTGCAATCCGTGTTAAAGATTGGGTCTTCAAAACAAATAATTATTACAAAGTATAAATTGCAAAATCAGATTTCTGATCACATCAGTCGTTTAAAGTGTTTAGATATTTGGAATTTCGCTGATGATTACAAGCAGCACAACTCCGACTTTCTTAGTCAAATTTACACGACAAAAAAGTTTGAAAATGTAGAATTGTCTACGTTACAAAGAAGGGCAGTGGAGATGATTTTATTGAGTGCCCCAGAGGTAGATGACAAAGACAATATTTTACAAAGGAGGAAAACAATGTCTCAAAAGGACTGGATGAAAGTTGATTTTGAAAAACTATCAGAGATGGGCGGTTTGCCAGAAAGAGTTTATTATGGATTGTTTATACACGATACAAGAATTATTCTATCTCTAACTAGCCTACCTTCGCTTAAAATTTACGACATCAGTAAACCCACGGGAGAATGCGTTCACACTGAGATGTGTCAAAACAAACCGTATGGCCTTTGTCATAGCGGTTTGTGTTTGAATGAAATTTGTGTTTCTTTTGAAAACTATATTAATCATTATCGAATTGATATCGCTGAAACCATAACATTCACAAAACTTGGGACCATTCAGCTGGAAGAACCCATGTTGGCAATTTCTTGTGGACCAACAACAGTTTTTGCCGCTAATAAGACTAAGAGAATGATATGTTCTTTGGACTTTAGCATAAACCATAGTTCAACCTATGTATGTCCTGGCATTAAAGCGCCATTTGTGTCTTCATCAACAATATCAGATCGACATTGATTTATAAGAGATGATATGGTTATTGTTGTGGATCGGAATAACGAAGAGATTTATCAGAGTCCTTGGCATAAAAGTCTACGTGGTCTTGCATTCGACTTAAATGTAAATATTTTGGTTTGTATAAATGAGACAACTAAGCTTCATCAATTCAAACACGGCGAAAAGGAGGGTAGAGACATGGATTTGGCAGGCGTACGCAAAACTTGCAACGTTATACTGCATCCTGCGGGAGAAAAAAATTTGGTGCTGGACTTCAGTGAAAAATGTCTATACGAAGTAATGTAGAATATTGGTTGATGCAAACAAGTTTGTAAATAATTCTTAGACTTTCATTTACGAGCACTTATTTTATATAAATAGCACCCCTACTACTTAGATGTACTGTATTTAAGTTTTTTTACCACATGGTACCTAATTCAATAACAGGCAACGCTTTGAATGGACCCATGATCAATTTTTGGTAATTAAAATGTCATTGATTGGATTTAAAATACAGACTGATTTATATAAAGACAATGTCAGATCAATCAAAGTTAAGTTAATGTTTTATAAGTATTCAATAAAATGTCAGAGACAGAGTTACAAAAATGATACATTTAGATTTAGAAATGTCGGTTAACGCCGCATCGATTGCCTCATTGTCATGTTAGTAGTTCTGTGCAACTATTTTGTTAACTGAGTTTTACCGTGTTTATTTTTTTATGATCGGCCGCAGCGGCCGATCTATTTGTGGTTGTGTTAGAAAGTGCACATGGGGAAAAGAGACGTTATTTTTTTTATTAGTTCAGTAAAATAATTCCCAATTGATAACAAGTAAAAACCATAAATTAAATATTTTAAAAACTTGCTTCATACTTGGTATTAATTGCTGTTATTATGTTTCAATTTCATTATCATTTCTCATAGGATATTTGATAGAAGGTTAGCTTTTTTAAAAAAGCACTGGAATACAGAAAGTTTCTTTCTTGTTTTATAATTAAATGTAATAAATGCCATTTTAAGCAGGCGCGGATCCAGAAATTTTTTCCAGGGGGGGTCCACCCCAGTCAAAAAAAAAAATTCCTATCCCAGAAATTTCTTGACAAGCAAAAAAAAAAAAAAAAAAAAAAAAAAAAAAATAAACTCGTACAAACGTCAAAAACCTATTTCGTGGGGGGGGGGGGGGGAGTGGCCACAAATATTTCACTTTTCATACCCATTTCACGCATATTCGAGTTTACCAGGGGGGGTCGGCGTTTACCAGGGGGGGTCCATGGTAACTTTTTCCTTGTTTTAGTATATACATTTTTTAACCTGGTAAATTCCAGGGGGGGTCCTGACCCCCCCGACCCCCCTCTAGATCCGCGCATGGTAAGCCAAGTTAAATTCTTGTAATCGTTTTCTTATTTGTAACATAATGTTGTACATAATAAATGATAAAGCATAGAATGATTTTTTAATTCTGCATCGTGATCATTACAATGATCTCCAATAAATTCTCTTCGGCGCAGACATCAGAGAAAGTTCATCTTATACCGGTAAATGAACAAAAGCCACCATGGCAACTAAGATCACGTTAAATTCTATAAAAATGATATAGATTATGATGAATAAAAGGAAGGTAGACTTTGTGTTAGATTGTTTTGAAATATTATTAAATAACAGTTTTCATTTCTGCATTTCGAGGCAATGCATGATGTGGGGGGGGGGGGGCATACTGCATGTATATTTAATTTCATTTCTAAGTTTAAGCATCCATTTAAGAGTTATTAGGAAAGAAAAGAATTGCTTCCAAAATGTAATGAACACCACGGAAAACAATTTAAAATAGAAATTCAAAATATGTTTATACATGCAGTACGCATACATGAGCACAAAATGTATTTGATGATGTCTACCATCATAGCAAAACTATAGATTAAAAAACTGGAATCCATCTCCGCCCATCTCTCCTTTCATTGGGGGGGGGGGGGGGGTGTTGACCCTGTCTATAAATCAGCACAGTTCTCTCAGCTATCGCATTTCCACTGTGGTCAATTTCTCACATGTGGGCACGGTTCACGTGCACAAGCGGCACTTACACGTCTATCATCATGTAAATTATAAGAATTTACTGTCTTACAGTGGTCTTCTGATGTTTTCAACTTCCATCATTAGAGTGAAAAGAAATTGATCTTTCTTTTTTTTTTTTTTACTATTTTAGGACCTTTGTGGCAATTAAGTGGATTGTTGTGTGAATTCCGACCCGTACATGTCTTATGCAAGGTATTGAATATTGATCGAGGGAGTCTTGCATCAGGCATCCAGAGGAATACACAATTTAAATCTTCGGCTTGTAATGGCGATTGAGGGAATAAATGTACTTATCTTCTATTAGAAGCAATGAAATATTTTCATAGTATCATTTAAACACTGACAAATATCCCATCTAGAAGCTGAACAGTCTATGTCATTAATTTTCGTCGAGAACGACGAAGAACAATGCAGTCTATAAATAGATCGAGGTCGTGAGTGTGCGTGAAGAAGCACGCCCTCTGGTTGGAGAAATTGTGCAAATCTTTTTCCCAGAATTCCGATTAACGCAAGCGCACTTGCAGTTTCATCCTAAGGTGGCAGAGGATAGTTTTTTTGCAATCAAAACGTTTGACTGACGGTTTATTTAATATTGAGCTGCTTTTAAAATGTGCATTGAAAATTTTTTAATTCCCTCTACATGTAATAATAGTATGATGTAGTCCCTTGAGGAATTTGAAACTTTTAGGAATAAAACATGTACAACTTACACAATGGGACTTAATGATGGAAAAGGGACAATATCAAAATTTCATGTAAATCAAGTCTATTTTCACTATTTCGCCGCAGCCGCAACTGCTTCCAGGTCCGTGCTCATGACCTCAGCTACCACACAAATTGCAGAATAACATTTGTACATACCAATGAACAGCAAGAGATAATGGCTCAACCACCTCGTTTTCAAGCTACAATTCATCCTATGAACCCACCCCGCTTTTCTGGTGAAATACCAGTAGAGTGAGTTTTGAGCTTAGCTTCGTATTTCTAGTCCATATCCCATATACAGTAGTAGTGACACTAAAGTGTCATATTTCAATAAAATATGCAAGGCCACAAATTCCCTCCAAATGCACCCATAAAATATTCTAGCTATAAATTTACTTATAATACGAGTGCATTCAAACCTCAGGTTTTTCTATTTTTTCTATTTTTTGACCGGTACTTTATTCGAAACTATCCTCTGCCACCTAACATAACTAGTCAGCCCGGGGGCTGACTAAATATATGGTTATGTAAAGAGAGTTTACAATAGATACTCCCCAGCCTGGGAGCGTGTAAGATATGATTCAAGGAAATCGTCATGATTTTCCGAATAATAATGACGTGGTAAAAGTGCATGGTGAATATAAATTGAAAAGTTATTCAACAAGTAAAAAATGTTTTGAATACTCTCTATAACTGCAAATGACACCAAGATTTTTTTTTCTACATTTTGTGGCTTGCAGCTTAGCCTACTCTGCAGAAACCATGGGGATCATCACGTGATCAAGATCCAGGGTATCAGCACGTGGTTCATCTTGAGAGGCGTGCATCTTCATTTTGATGACAATAAATTCTTATCAATTATCACTGACTTTTTTTTTTACATCGATTAATCTATTTATGAGCAAATCCGGTATATGTCTATTTATTTTGCTTTGAAGACAGTCTGAAATAAAAATGTTTCAACTATTTCACCTTTGAATATATTGACGTGCTTTCCGTGCATGGAAGGTTTTAAAATTGTGAAAGAAATTTTTAAATGCTTGAAATTTGTTTGAGGCCGATTTGATACTTTGCATCAATTTTACTTGTAAATACATTTTATGATGTTTTGTGTTGAGACACAATCCAAAAAGCATATTTTGTTTACAAGATTTTGTTCTTATTACATTTTGTGTTGTCCTCAACGCAAAAAACTTAAATTACGCAAAATGTAACAACAAAAAAGTACATTATAACACTTGATGTTAAGGTATGTCACTCGTCAGCTTTTTAGAAAAGCTCACGCAGAACCTCTTACTTCAAAACTATTCATTAAAATTCAATTTTTATAACATATTTTAATTCAACAACGTTAACATTAAACGAAAAAACTGCTCAAAAGCTACAAAGAAGCAAAATTTATGAGGGACTAATTCTTGTGGTGGAAAGGATATTTAGCAGATAATTCTGCAAATCTGCACATTTATTAAATTGAATATTCTGGAACTTTAGCCTCACATACTTTTACTCGGAGAATATTTTCCGTTACGATATTGAAAGGAATGTTTAATATAGGTCTTAATTGATATTTTTAGAGCAAGTTTTACACCTTCCTTCAACAAACTTTGCCAGAAAAATGAAGATATATCATATAAGTCAAGATAAAATTTATATCATTTTTCGCCTGAAAATCACAAATAATTTGACCAATATTTCAAAAATAACATCACTGACCCCAAATTTTTCTTTCATTATTTTAAAGTACTCGATACTTGTTTCTGATCAGCACTTAAGTCGTAAAAAGCTTGATTTAATAAAATGTTTTATTGCCTATTTAGTTTTTTAATACCCCAAATATGTTACTTTTTTGGCGCAAAAAGGTCACACAATAATTTACGCGCATTAATTTGCAAGTTTTGTTCAATGATAAATATTATTCAAACTATTTTACGTAATATAATAATGCATTTATTGCCATGGTTACATATGATAAAATATGATAAGGGTTAAAGTAATTAACCAAAGAGTTTGAATTTAAGTGCAAAAATGTCAACTTAATTGTACCGTAGATCAGTAAGATGCACACCGACCCCCTATTTTCTCTGCGATTTTGAGTCACACTATATGAGTACTTATCTAAAATATACTTCTAAAAAAATCCTTGATTTAACAAATTTCACGAGTGACATACCTTAACCCCAACGCAAAATGTAATAACACAAAATGTAATCATCTAAAAATTACGTTATTACATTTAAGGAATGAAGCTTATATCAACTTTTGTTATACGATATAACATAACTTGGGGCAGTTTACGATTTATAAACCGCGAGACAATGAGACAATTTTTCCTCTGGAAAAAGGCTTCAAATATAACATATTTTAACAATCTCTCACCAGAGGGCGTTTTTACGCTCCGCTCCAACACCTCTGTTATCGTCTAAATTACAAGAATCTTGTAAAACGAAAATAAATTATAGATTCACATCAACTTGGTAATTATTTAAAATGAAACTAGAAATATCAATCTATAGCACTTCTTTTGTTCTTTTAAAATCTGGATATATATTAAAATAGTTTCAATATATATGGCACTATTTTGTTTAGAATTTTTACACACATTTTCATTTTGAAATCAAGGAGACAAAGTTAGAAAATAGTTACTACCAGAGAGCTTTAAACACATAACATCATTGGCAAAACATACAAAACAATCAATGTTTATACAATTTTTGTTGACATTTAATTATTTGACAATCCGCACTACTTTTTAGACGACAACAGAGGTGTAAGCGGAGCGCGCCCTCTGGTGAGAGATTGATATTTTAAGAGTAACGCCAAGCGGAGTAATACGTTTTTGACGTAACTCATTGTGACGTAGACAAGTTATGTTATGCAAAATGGATAAAATCTTTTACCCAATCAAATGACGTGTTACAACTAAAATTAAATTATTTCTCGTTATTACGTTCTGCGTTGATCTCAAGGCAAAAAAGTAATCTTAGTTTATTACATTTTGCATTCTAATTGCATTTCGTGTTTTAACACATCGTATGCGACGTCATCAATTTTTTTTCCTATAAAATATCACTTAACCATTAAAATTGAAATAAAAAAAAACATAAGGTTATAAAATGATGTGTCTTGAAGTTATCCAAAATAGATAGGCCGACATTTTCCTCTAATTATTTCTTTTCTGAAAGTTGACACTTTTGAAATTTTGATATTTTGTTCTGGGATGCAAAATCTTTATATGTAAAATAAAAGAAATTCAATCGCACATTTATATCACATAGTTTTAAATATGGCCCATCAAACCCCTGTAAGAAGATTGTGAAATCAGATATTCAGCTTTAGAATGTGCCTTATTTAAGAATTATCGATTGATCTATTTCAAACTCGAGAGATGCTTTTTATACAATCAATCATACAACATAACTGATTATTGACGATTTAGGGATATTATTCTTTTTTCTTGTGTACTTTAAGAGAAATTAGTTAAAATAGATATATTGAGTGTTGTATACTAATTAAGGAATTCTGACAATTATATAAAGGGATATTTTATTTAGGGGACAACTATTTGATTCTACGTTGCCTTGGGGGGTTGGGTGGCAGATTTTGAAATAAATAATCTAAACTCGAAATTGTTGAAAATAAATATTAATCTGTTTTCGACTGGGGAGAAAATAAACAATATGTCAATGACTAGTGCACATCCTCACGTCCCACCCACCCACCCCCGGAATAAGAGTTTTGGACTCTGATGTTTTCCTCTATTATTCTATAAGTGAAAAAAGTAAATATTTTGTCCTCCTTATCCTACGTATGTAACTAATTTGTCTTTCCTGAAATGAAGGATATGGAGAAAACGAACAATACAAAACAGGAGAAGAGCAAACACGGACCTCTAAAACATCAGAGGTGGGATCAGGTAAAAATAAATAATTTAACTCGTAGAAATTGGCATTCGTCTTTGGAATCCGATGGTCGTCCCCCTAACAACGCCCAATCAATGTGTCAGAGTAAAAGGAATTCAAACCGAAAGTGATCTGTGAGATATATATCGAGAATATATATTTCATTCTTTTCAATGGCTGACTCAAAAACAATGCCCCTGTCGCTGACGCTGAGAGTGATAAAGTCATTGTCAGATATGTTTAGAAAATGTTAGAAATCCAAAATATCTACAATGTTATCACACATTTTGTGAGTTGTGTATTCAGACTTACTTTTCAAGTACGACGACGCATAAGGAAAATGAAATTAAAATCAATCGAGTGTCGTAGATGTATCGACGCTCCGCGGAATGACATTTTAAGTGAGGCGTGGGCATTAAAATTACCGCACAATAAATTAACTTCTTTTAACTATATCTGTAGATCCCAGGCAAGATGAAAATAAATTTTGTATATTTTGCAAACGATAAAAGAAAGTGGTACTGGTGCAACGCTTGTATGGAAGCCATTTGCGAAGACTGTAAATCATTACATAGAAATGTGTCAATTTTGCAGAATCATAAAATTTTAGATCTATCAAACATCAAGAATGTGAGTAGCGAAGTTGCACAAAGGGAAAGTACTTGATGTATTTTGCCAAGACCATCAAAAGCTATGCTGTAGTGTATGCAATGTTAGACACACTTGAAGATATAGCTCAGGTGATTGACCGAGATAGAATTCAAAAGACTGCTTTAATATGTATCGGTTTGGAGAAAACTGTTAAAGATATTCTTTCAGAAAACCAAAATAAAGTATCAAAACTTCCTACCATGCAGGAAGCAAGAAACCTGTATGGTCACTGAAGAGAAAGTTCTAGAAATCAAATCATTAGTGGACAATGCACATGTCATGTGGCTTTAACGATTTTAACAGAATCATGCAGACTCTGTTGGAAATATCGAAATTGCTTCTGAAGAGTTAAGATGGTATTCAACTACAGTACACGAAGCAAGATCCATACTACAATCAGTGTTGAAGAGTGGGTATTCTAAACAATTGTTTGTTACAAATCATAAATTACAGAATCAGATTTCTGATCACATCACTCGTTTAAAGTCTTTGGCTATTTGGAATTTTTCTGAAGACTACGTGCAAAACATCTCAGATTTTCATTGCAAAAGAATTTAAAGATGTGTAGTTTTCTGAAATACTTCTTTGGCAGTGGAAAAAATTTTGCTGGATGCTCCAGAGTTAGCTGACAAATATAATACTTTACAGAGAAGAAAAACGATGTCTAAAAAGGATTGGATGAAAGTCGACTTAAAAAAATTATCCCAGATTAGCTTCTCAGGATATGTTTATTATGGCTTGTTTGTACATGACACAAGAATTATATTATCTTTTACTGCCTCTTCTTCGCTGAAGATTTGCGACATCAGTAAGGTCACAGGAGAATGTGTTCACGCTGAGAAGTGTCAGGACAAACCGTACGGACTCTGTCACACCGGTCTGAGCTTGAATGAAAATGTTTCTTTTAAAAACTTTATCAATCATTATCGAATTGATGCTGCAGAAACTATAACATTCACTAAACTAAGAACTATTCAGCTGGAAGAACCCATGTTGGCAATTTTTTGTGGGCCAACTTCAATGTTTGCTGCCACTGATACTAAGAGAATGATTTGTTCTTTGGACTTTTGCGTTATCCATACTTCTGTGTATGAATTTGGAGGCAATACACCTTTGATTTCCTCATCGCTGATAACAGATCGTTGATATGTACATTGCTAAAATTTAAAAAGGTGAATGTGAATAAGATGAAGGTACATGTTAGGTATATTAAATGAGAATACTAGTAAATATACAAAACAAATAATTCATGGCTTAATGTCGCAAAGAAGTTGTATAAATATAATTTTACATGTATATATAGTGGAGCATAATGAGTACATTGCAGGCTTTTTGAAATCATTGACAGCTGCTTTTTTGATAAAAAATGGAACTCCTAAATTTATTTCCTTTTCATTGGTCATTTAGAAAATTATTTTGTTGAATTTAAAAAACAATATTCTGATTGTACACACTAGCACTTGAAGTGGATATTAAAAAAAGATGCTTGAGTTTCTGTTGAACAACATCTATGTGGTGTTTAGAGACCACATTTTTCAGCAATATACTGGAGTCGCCATAGGTACCAATTGCAGTCTGTTATTAGCAAACCCATATTTGTATTCATATGAAGCAGAATTTGTACAAAATCTTGTAAATGAAAAGACGAAAACACTTGCTGTGGTCTTCAACTCGACTACTATCGACGACGTATTGTCAATTAACAATGGTAATTTCCATTCTTATGTCAATTTGATATCCTGATGACTTTGAAATAAATGAAAGTTCAAGAAATCAATCTTAGTGGACAATGCATGTGTACCATGTATGTGATATGAAACGTTGTATATACCAAGTATCATAGAATTGGTAGGTATATATAGATCACAGCTCAAAGTCCACCTCGCAATGAGTACGAAGACAATAAACATATCAACCAATTAGTCTTCCAAACTTTCCCAGGGAAGAGATAAAGGAATTTCTTTTATGATTATATCTGGATTTATAAAACCCCAACAGTAGCAAATAAGGATATTTTTCAGAGTTATGAATAGTAAGGTTTCAGAATACTGCTGTATATCTTTATTCTTTTCATAAAAGTCTGAAAGTTACATGGATTGGTAGACTTTTGAATGATACTTGTCCGTCGAGTTGGAAAGATTTGCTAAAAAGCACTCTTCAAAATGTAGCATGTATTGTGATTCTTTGCAGACAGATACTAAATCATTTGTAAAATATCATGAAAAATCTATTTTTATTATGATATTCATTTCAATACGACCATTAAACTCTCAGAGAGATTAGGCATCATGTTTTATTTTCATAATATACTTTATAAAATTGTGTTACATTTTCATTATTATTAACAATAACACTGCTTTGTGATCGCCATAGAAATCTTTCATCGTTCAATATTTTGTATAAGTCTTGTATATCAGAACGATAAAGATTTTCTAATATTTGTCTTGTTTTGGGGTACATGGGCGGTTTTCCAATCTTGTCTTTGGTAACATAAACTCTTTCTGATATCGTAATATTCAGTTTTTCTAATTCATCATCAGTCATATCACCTGAAAAAATAACATATAAAATAATTATAAAAACCTCTAAAATACTTAAAAGACATGTAAAATTATTGTTATGATCAATATATTTTTATACCAAAATATGAAGGGCAAATGATGATGACAAATTCAATGTTGAAAATATTTCTGGTATTGAAAGAAAAAATGCATTACAGACACTTTAAAATTATAATACTTACGTAATTCCAGAAATTTGAATACTTTTCTGACAACAGAGGACACGTTAGATGAGTAGTCTTCTGTACGTAGAATTAACATCTGATCACGTGGAAATACTGACAGCCATTCTCGTAGATAAACGGCGTTAAATCCTAAATGTATTCTCGTCTGAAAATCTGAAAAAAAATATTGAAAGGAAATTTTATCATTTTAAATCTTTTGCCAAAAATCTGTTACAGACTTACGAACCTTAAACTTAATTTGTTGAATGTGAGCTATAAAATAATAATACGAAATTAGATGTAGATATAGTTATTTCACTTATTTGCGTTCAAATAAAAATTTTCACAAGATTTTGAGCATGAATAATTGAATAATTATAACCTCACGTTTTATAGTTAACATGACCTTATGTCTTTTTTTTTTTGTGGAGTCGGTAAATATATCGAATATTGTTTCAAATTTTTTATATGTTTGAAACGCATGGCGCAATTGTTTAAATTGTGTAATATGCAGAGTCATATAAAGTTACAAATAGAAATGTTTTCTTAATTCTAATTAACTGAAATTATCAAAAATATGCCACATATATATGTCTTTAAATGTTTTGCACTGAATCAAAGTAAAATCCGAACACTAAAGTAAAAATTATTACTTATAAAGTTCTTTGGAAGTCGTATTGAAGGTTTAGTTTGAGAACCATTTGAAGTTATTTTGCTATTGCAATACTTCTTATAATTACTATTTTATTACTATTTTGAAGTATTTCACCTAAATACACTGTATGATAAAACATGCGTCAAGTTATGGACCTAAAAAGTGACTATCGATACATACTCGTATATACATAAATGTGTATTTTTCTACACGGTAATCCGGGGGAACCGGGGTAATAGCTGTTGTTGAAAAGTCTTTACTGTACACCCTTACTTCTATAATCTTTATATTGAACTGTCATAAAAACCCTACAAATCTCCCTATAAATTCTATTGTGCTTTTCAATCGTTTTATTTTTCATCTTATTAAAGACAATTCGCGAATCGCCAATTTTCCCGGGATAACTGACCTGACCAATCAGATAAAAGGTATGACGTAGAGAAAGCGTCACCAAAAGTTGCGTGGCGGAAGGTTAGACAAACAAAACTACTACTGTACAGTAGGTCAACACATTCATACGATTGTTATGGTTAAAAGATGTGCATTCGGACTTTGCAACAGTGACAGTCGGTATCCGGCCCGGAATAAGGGGGTGATATTTTACCCATTCCCTAAACCTAAAACAGATATTGACAAATGCCGACGGTGGATCAAGGCGTGTAATCGCCCCCACAAACAACTCAACGTCGACAGGATAACAAAAAACACTTATGTCTGCTCCAAGGTATGTTCAATTATGTTGTTAATATTGATCGTAGCATACAAATTTACGCTCTTATAAATGATTTTGCGAATTTAAACAGAAGTTACGTTTATTGTTAGCAAAATCAGCCAGAATTTCCTTTGTTGTTTTTGAACATCGTCTGTCATGTCCCCAATTATTTTAAAATATATCGCAAATGCCGGGGCTACTGCCTGAATAAAATGTGTTTTATAGTGTATTAAAGAGGTTAACATGCATTTCACATCATAATCCTCGAGAAGTGAAAATTTTGCATATGATTTCACTTTAGTAATTTTTTCAGTACCTATTTGGTAGATCCCTGATTATACGTATATCTTTGAACTTCTAAAGAATAATTGAGAATAGGCCTATGTGTTTATCTGAAAAATTGTTTGGTAACATGGTTAAGATTCATGCTATATTTGATTGCAGCACTTTATGAATGGCTGTGGTCCTACACCAACATATCCTGACCCCATTCCTCTGACTTCCAGCACACCCAAGCCATCTAGACCCCCTCCAAAGAACAGGGGAATCTTCAGCAAACAGTCAAGGTAAAATTAAATCATTAGTATATATTATTTCCATGCACATTTTATAAAGAAAAAAAAATTAAAATAAAAAAAACTGCTTTTTTTTTAAATTGTAACTTTTATATTTCACTTGTAGTTTATTGCCTCCTGGTCTTTTATAGAGCAATGCCTATAGTTTTGTGTTGATATATAGATGTGAAACATTTTGTTGGTAGATCAATTTTGCAGTGACCTTTGTTCTGTAATTTCAGTGAATCAGAAAATCAGGAAGACCCTGATAATCAATGTGAAGAATCTTCTCAGCATGTTACTGCCACTGGTGTGTCAACTTGCTCTCAAACTGAGGAAAAATGTAAGTGCATGATGCCAGTTTGATTTATGAACATTACCCAACATAGATGCAGACAACAGTTTATTCAATAAAATCATGAAAATGACAGAAGTATATTTCAGTTAAATTTGAGACAAGTTCTTTCATAAAATGAACATTAGGATATATTCTTTCGACATGTAATTCTTTTCGAGTAAATACAATGAAATCACAAAAAGAAACACCGGTGACCAGAAGTTGTCCTTGAACTTGGAAATAGAAGGCGTGAGATTTTTTTAAAGTAATTTTTCCATCAGTTTCAAGTAAACAAAAGTTGGGAAGGGAAAGAGAATCTTGAATGGTCAAGTCTCGAGCAGAGTAGGGGCACTTAATTTCAACAATTCCACTTACACCTCCATCACAGACAATTCCATCTGGAGTTGCCCCTAGAAATGGCAATTCTGGATTAATGCACAGTCCGCAGTCATGTACATGCAATCCCTGTCTTTTAACATACATCTCTCTGGCTTTCTTTTCATTGGAAATTTATGACGTGGAAGTAGACTTAAATGCTTTTGGTTCTAAAATACTTTTGACATACTTCAAAGAAATAGTTTTCCTGTGTAAAATTTCGTAAAATTTGGACGCTGTGAGTCGTGTTTTTCTCTCTAAATGCCATCTCTGTGAATGATATTGTTCTTGTGTTTCCTCTTGAATTTCATGAGCTTTGTTCAAGTCTATTGCTAGAGATTCTGATAAATGTTTATATTTATCTGGTAGTAAAACTGGACAGATATAGGGCAATTTTAGATCTCCACATTTTGTATCCACTGCCTTTTGTACTTGTGGCTCATAGAAGGATGCCTGTAAAAAAAAAATAAATGAAAATGCTGCATTGCATTATGAAAAACTAATACATGTAAATACATTTTATTTGCAATTTATTCCAGGGGTTGAACCTATGGATGTTTTACTACTGGCTGCTGAAAACAAGAACATTTTGGAGGAAAATAGAAGCTTAAATGGTAAACTTCAGACTGTATATGGAGCATATGATCAACTTTATAAGAAGACTTACACAGAAAAAAAAATGTAAAATTGCAAGCTGAACTTTCACAGGAATTTAATGTTGATGTCATCATTGGTGATGCAAAACAATTCAAATATTACACAGGTTTAACACCTGATCAGTTTCTTGGAGTATATATTTTTTTGGTACCAAATGATCAAGTTATACCAATACAGTTTCCATCAAACAGATCAAAAGAAGTCATGGCATTGAATTTGAAAAGTCAATTATTTTTAACAATTATGAAATTGAGACATGATTTTCATTATTCTGACTTGGCTTTTCGATTTAAAATTAGTAAACAGACAACAAGTGTTATTTTTACGCACTGGATCAATTACATGTTTTTGAGATTTGGAGAGCTTTCCATCTGGCCTCACAGAAATGTCATCAAAGAAAATATGCCACCCAAATTTAAAGAAGAATTTCCGACAACTTTTGGTATTCTTGACTGCACAGAAATAAAAATCAACAAACCATCATCTCTTAAGGCCCAATCACAAACCTACAGTGACTATAAAAGCTGCAATACTACGAAAGGTTTAGTAGTGTGTGATCCAAGGGGTTCAGTTACATTTGCTTCCATGTTATTTAGTGGCGGTATATCTGACAAGGATATTTTTGTGCGATCAAAGTTTGAAGACATGCTCAAAGACTTGTTGGATGAGGATTACCTACTCCAAGGATATGGACTCATGGCAGATAAAGGATTTAACATCGAAGAGGAAGTAGAGAAATGTGGGCTGCAATTAAACATACCACCCTTTGCAACCATTGGAAAACAAATGACCAAGAGTGATGCTTTACTAACCAAGAAAATAGCTAAACGTAGAGTTCACGTTGAAAGAGCTATTGAGAGAATCAAACGTTTTAAAATTTTATCTGGAAAATTCAAACTCTCTTTATTTACTTTGATTAACCAAATATGGTATGTCTGTGCTATGCTTTCAAATTTTTTTCCTCCTTGCATTAAAAACAAAACCTAAGTCAAAGCTTTTAATTTTTTAAAAATAAATATTAACCAGTTAAAATGCATTTCATACATGTAATGGGGTATTTTCTTGACTAAACGCATTACCCTCAGTATGTAGTGTATAATTATGTATTTTATTCATGTTTACCGGTATATGCATACATGCAATATTGTTGTTATTTGATGAAATTTAATTACATGATGTACCGGCATATCACATATGATAAAGTATTAAAATATTGACTTAATTATAGTACTAAAATATATGTTCTGCCTGAGAAGTAGAGAGAGCTAGAGAGAAGTAATCTGAATTATAGTACAAAACATACATGTGTGCTTAGACCACTTCCTATTCCAACTTCACCCAAATGGGTCATTTTCCTCTTCATGGGATTTGACACCAAGTAACTGATTGGCAATCCTTTTAAGGCTTTTAAATGGTCAACATCTTCTCCATTCACATAAATCTTCCTAAAAATACAATGTACCCTGGTAATGAATTTTAATCAAGAAACTTTAAAAATTAGATTATAAATACATACATGTAGAAATTACAAATTTTAATTGTTGCTAATAGTAATGTTATTTAATTTATAAGGTTTTAACGATATTTTTGGTAAGACCAAAAGAAAATATACTCTTGTTTCCTGTCCCCTGACCAAAAGAATTAGGGTCGGTAGGTAGGGAAGAAATTTCATTTTGGGAAAAAATTTTATTTTCAAAACTCAATGAATGCAGTACATATTCATATAGCATGTAATAACAAGAAAATGATATGTTAACAGTTTACAAAGCAAGTTTGTTAATCAAGATTTATAAAGTACAGGTATCCTGTACAGTTGTGATGTATTAATTCAAAAAATATCGTTGGCCGACTTCAGTATTTTAGAAAAATAGTTACCCCAAAAATGAAAATGTAATAGAAACTATTAGGGTCAAAGGGTAAAATGTAGGGTAGGTCCGGTGACAGGAAACAGGAGTATTTTTTATTTTGGCCTTACCTGCATTCTGTCAAAACATTTTCTACAGGTTTCTGTTTTCTATCAGGGTGGGGTTTAATAATGCAAATTTGGGGAGCAGCAGAACTTTCAATCTTGCTTCCTCTTGGCACAGACCACTGCTGGGGCATACTAGTACATGTTAGATTATCAGGGACTGCTTTAAAACCCATCAGAATCCAATGCTGAAGAGCCATCAGCAAGCCAATAATGTGAGAACATGACCCACTGGCTCTGGAAAAAAAAACGAGTGTCGGGTTTAATTTTACGATTTTCACAGCAAAGATATCGGAATATTCAACATGTTCAATGTATCGATAAATCATATGCATCAAATTTTAAAACAAAACATACCCAAAAACATACCCAGCTGTGCATGAACAATGCGCCAAACCCAAGGATCCTGGCGATACGTCTATATTTAAAGAATGCTGAGAGTCATTTTTCCGTTGGGAGCGGTGACATTTTGCGGAAATTCGGACTTCATTCTCCTTGTCGCTTTTATACAATTTCACCCTCTCGAAATAATTCTCACTATAATACTTAAAGCCTTGCTGCCTTGCTTTCATGGAAATTTCTCCCTCTATATAATTTTCGGATATGTCATGAGGTAAGTCGGATAAAATTGCAAAAACGTGTTGATCTTGCCTCTTTGCAGCCATCTTTATAAAGAGATGTTTGTCTAACCTCAGCATCCGTGACGTAGTTTGGGAAAAGGGGCGGGGCTTACAGAAAGCGCGGCGATTCGCGAATTCAAACAAAGTATAGACTCTTAAATATGAATTATTTTTTTGAGTTGGAAATAAATCTGATTAAAATCATTACACCAGGTAAAACCGCAATGTAGTCCGTAAATAATACATGTATTTATACCTTCAACTTTTAATAAATTTTACACTACTAAAGTAATTAAAAGCATGTTTATTTATTTCAGGACTTTAATAATAATTTTTACGCATTTGTCGTTGATAACATCGTTAAAAGTATACAGTTTCTCATCTCTCGATCACTAAAATGTCGCGTATGACGTCATACATTTAGACGTTGCGCACGGTGTTGATACTATTATAACCGGTAGAAATACACGAGTCGGTACTTCGTATAATATTTTATTAACGTTCCAAACTTGGTGTTTACTACACGATCTATGTGTCGGCGTGGACTGTAGAATGTCCAGCTTCCAACTGATAATCATGTATGAAACGGCCAACTTATAACAATGATGAAATAAACAATTAAAATGAAGAGTTACTCTAAGCAGATGGACATAATTGACATAATTAAATTAACTGAATAATAATTAACATGTTCACTCAGGCACAGGTGGCATCAAATGTCTTGCGATCAAGGTCTTTAATTATGTTTTACTTGGCACTATCAAAGAATATAATTGTGACTCAAAATCTATTCATTTCACACGGTCACACTATAATATCCAACTCTTTATGTTACAAAGAATTCGGCGGTTTTACGATGTCATATTAACTTAAAATTAACAATAAAATTATTCATGTTATCCAAAGTAATAAATAATTCTAAAAATTCTCTTTTAAATTGTTTACATTTATTTTAACTATGATGAGGCATAATTCGTTCTTGGTCATTACTGCGAAATTCCCGTGTCCGACGTTACATCAATTATTGTTCGCGCAACTACAAGGTATGAAAAATGCACTTACAATTTTCTAAATTAAATGAAATTTAGGAGATGCAATAAAATATATTCATTCTTTAAGATATTGTTGAGTTTTTAACATCATTTTATCAATTTCATGAATTTGGACTGGATGTACAGTGCGTAAGTAAAATGTCTAACAGAAAAAAAATTCGTTGTAAAAGGAAAAAAGATAAGGTTTTGGTAGAGCAATTTTGATGGACCTGGCCATGTGTTTCTTTCTGTCTTTTTTTTGAAGATTTTAAATTTTTTATGAACTTAAGAAATCCAATTTAGATAGGGCAGGTCGAAATCATTTACGTTCACTGGAATGTTAAAAATACATGTATTAAACATGCACTGAAATGTGATTTGGGAGAGTTTCCTACGTAAAAAGAGAATTGTGAGTATCAAGTTTATGTACCCAGAACAAGCTCTTTCCAACACAAAGGTTACTCAGAAAATACATGTAGCAGGCCAAGAGGGTTATAAAGTGAGCAACATTTGTAAACAAATGCTTTTTGGTTATAGAAGAGTTGAAGACATCAAAAAGTTTTTATTAAATTACATCTCCAAATCAAGTCAATTTTCTGTTATGCATATCTGGAAGATTAGTAAAACTGAGTTGGTTGAACATAGTGAATGAAAAAAACAACAGAAACAAGTTTACTTTTTGATTAACCAACAATGAATATATGAACGATTTTGAGTGGAAAATAATTAAAGTAGCAATAGTTAATTACTTACTTTTCCCTTAACTAAGGCTGCATTAATATTAAAATCAAACAAACAAATCCTCAAACTTCTTCGTGTGCGACATCTCTCAAGAACATTAATCGCTTCTAACACAGCAAGATGAAAGGTGGTTTGATTCTTGATGCGCTCTCCATTGTCAATAAAATAGTAGTCTGAATACAGTCTTAAAGAAATTAAATGACATTAGAATGTTTAAAGGTGCATAGACACAGATTTTAATTTTGTAAAAGTTTGAGGATGTGCCAATCAAACCCGTCCAAAAATTTAAGTTTTAATAACTTTTAGTTGAAATAAGATTTTTAATATGTTTTCCTGTAAAATGCTTTTCATATAAGTCGTGATATTATACAGAAAATATTAACTTCAAATCTGTGTCTATGCACCTTTCAGACTTTCTAGTTTCAAAACTAGAAGATGAAAATATTCAGCATATCTATGTGGTAAATATGTTTTTGTTCAAAATGTTGGCTTGTATTATTGAAATCTTGGATATTTTCCTTTAAAAAATCCAAAAATCTTAAAAATCAACTACTCGTATGTTATTCTGTGGTGTTTTTCTTTTACCTATCTACTGGATTTCTGAGTATAACTATAAGTTTTACGTCAGGATTTATGTGTTTTATGAGATGTGGAGTTAAATATCGGGGTTCGGCTAGTCCCCTGTTCTGTGGTATCATTTTCCATCCCCGGAAATCCCACATATCCATCGGAGTTCCGTCCCCTGAAAAAAATTAAAATAATCATGAGCATAGGATCCTGGACCATTAAACTTAGAAGTGCTTAATTTTGATCCCCAAAATTACAGTGAAGAGTGAGGGCCTCAGAAGTGAAGCTGTCAAAGCTTAATAGCCTTGAAGCCAGACTAGGGTTCATTTTATCACCCATGTCTATAACACATTATGTTAATTGTAGCTTTTTGTATTTCTTATTCATTGAATGATAGAATAAATTCCATAAAAATTATACAAATTAAAAATCAAGTATTCCAGTTCATTTTTTGTAAAAAAAAAAAAAAATGGAAAAAAGAAAGAAAAAAAAAACAAATAACGAACCTGTCCTTAAATGCCAACTCACCTGTGATAAGCATTGTCTTGCCATCTTTTTGAGAGGCGTTACTTAACAAAGCAGCCGTGTTACTAAAATAATTAACGTAGTCTGAGAAATATGATTTCCTTGTGTTCGCTGACCATAACCAATAACCTATGAATAATAGTATAAATATACTTTTCTAAAAATCAAGTAAATTTACTTATAATTCTGCCACTGAAAACTACATGTAATTGTGAACATTTTCTAAATTATTACTGTATATCTAAATACTTAGTATCATTAAACTAGGAGATCAAAAAAAAAAATCTTAAGTTTGTGTATGATAATATTAAGAACACACACTGGAAGAGTACTGCAACTGCTTTGATAATTTCTATAATCGATTTGAATCCTACGCTTAAATGATTAAATTCTGAAAATTTGCCCAATTCAAATTTGAAGAAAAAAATTGCCCAATCATAGCCACTTTTACTCCTGTGAATAAAATATTGTTCAAAGAAATTGAAAATTAGACGAACCATATCGTTTCCAGGACCACCACATGTTTTCTTTGTTGTTGGTGTTCACTACTACATCTGGGTGTCGCGATATTCGGGTAAAGAGGTCAGTTGTGCCACATTTATCCATTCCTATCACCTGAAAATATGGAAGGCATTTCAATTTTCCACTTACGGACTTCCAGCATGGGTTTTTATGCGAGGTCGAAAAATTAAATTGCGACTGAAAAAAATAGTTTGGTGTTTAGAAATGTATAGCTAGAACAAGAAAACATTAATAAAATACATGTATCCTTAAGGATATCCTATCCTTAGCCAGGAAGGATAACTCTAAAAATTAATATTTAATTTGAAATGCATTAAAAAATAAAACTTTTTCATGCAACAATTTTCATTTTATTCATCTTTATTATAAGATTCAAGGTCTTTGGAAGTCGTAGAAAAAGTCTTATAAAAGTTTACATTTGTAACCTATAAAAGGAGAAACATAAATACAGTTTTAGAGAAATAAGATTTTCTTGAATCCATCCTTAGATACAAATGCTTATTAGCATGATATAGAATGAGTAGTAATTTGTGATTTGCAATGATAACAAAAGCCTTTTCAATATTTGTACTATAGAATACAGAACGGAAATAGATGACGAAAATACCAAATAAGTAAAAAAAAATCATGACAATTTCTCTGAATGCCTGGATACCTATCATTTTTTTGACCTAATATATACTTGTTGATCAATTTGCAATTAGAAAAGGCATTGCTGATATTCCAATTCGCTTTTTCTGCAGAAATATTGGGGATTTCCCTATATAATATGTTTAACTTTAATCTTTAACTTTAAAGAAATACTGTGGATAAATTTACATAACTTAGTGGATTCAGAGATACTTTTATGAGTATTTTTGATTACTTTTAAACTGCTAAATTTATAAACCTGAGGATCGGACTACCTTAACGAGGTTGGCTCCTGATATTTAAAGTCTTAAATTTTTTTTGTCAAGTATATTTTTACTTTCTACACACATAGCTAAATTAATCAAAGTATTGAAAGAACTGAAAGCCGGACTTTAATTGCCCGAGTATATTGTCTGATCCGAAGTTAGTACATATTTATTTTTTTCCTTTTGGTCATTGTTTTTAACAGGTAGAGTCTCTATGATTATGATTTAAAACAATATCCCGTATACCAGTAATTAAAATTAACAGTCCAGATCCCAATATATGTTATATGTTAACATTATATGTTAAATACCAGTAATGTTTCCAAGAAATTTTCGCATGTTTTCTTTTCTATAAGCATTTTTTCTCATAACTTAAAAATTCAGTCTTGGAATAGTTAAAATAATGCACATGTATATTTTATGAACATTCTTTTAGTTTTAAACAAAGTGCTTTTATCGACAACTATATGTAGAAACATTGATACATGTACATTGTTAAGCGACTTTACGCATGTTAATTCTTAAAATTCCAATGCACTATACCATTAATTTGCAAAAAATCAAAACAGAATATAACTACTAAGAAACATAACATCGACGAAAACGATATGAAACATGAAAATCTTCAACAATTTCAACATTTCGAAAGCCCGCGCTATTGAAAATAGTTCGTTTACAATATGTTTTCAACAGCGCATGTGCACAAAGTGTTATTGCTAGCGCTCTCGAGCGCTAGCAACTACGTAAGTCCAAACTCCTGGAATACGCATGCTCGGCTTCACGGTCGTGCATTCTGGGAAAACTGTGAAAACTACTATAGATAGACCGTACGATAAAAATTTCGTTGTATCATTTAATAACTTTGTTTATTTATTGTGTAGCTTAATTACACTTTAAAGATAACTACGTAATTGTAAAACTTCAAATTTTCCCTTTTTTCCAACGGAAAAGCCTGAGTCAATATCTGATCGTTCTAAACAAAGACAAGGATTTTTTTTACGTCCAAGCAAAAGATATAGACTCTATTTTCAAGACCTCACTACTCTAAAAATAAATTCTATATGCTCGCAATCAGGGCAATGTACGCCTAGCAAAAACTCCGTAAACAAGGATTTACACTAAAAAAAATACGAACAAATACATTATTTATTTTTTTAAAAAATTCTGTGTATGGCTTTTAACCTACCAGTTCTTGACAAAGATGACCCAAAGGGCCAAGCTACTTCATCTTCACATTCAGAACTCTCTGGAAACTCCAGTGGGTCAACACAAAATCTTCAACCCAACCCAACCCCCCCCCCCCCATCGTTTCTTTAACTATGTGTCTATAAAATATACTTCACAAAAAATTATAACTTTATCACACCCCAGCCTCTATAAACATTAAAAAATTCAGCGAAATAAATCACTTGATCACGAACCTTCCTTTCTGTGTTTAAAAATTGCTACG